GATATACGTTGGAATTTCGAACCGAACACTTTATTTTGTCCACCGGAGTAATTTTTCTTGTTGTTCATGTTTTTCTGGATATCTTAGTTTCAGTTACTAAACTCAACTCTGCTGTGATTAGGTAATGGACTTACAACTGCTTGCGTCAAGTAACTGGGTTACTTCAACCAACACTTTTATCCACTGGACCATGTGTCCCCAAAGCCGGATTCGGACAATGTAAATTGTTTTGTTTCGGGGTTCACTATTTATCCATATCTGGGACCCTAACAAATGATACCACCCCAGATCAGAGTGAACCTGGGAACAACAGCAATTAAAATGTGATTCCAGGGTCCTCGAAACTTCCTGGTCTTAAAAACCATGAGACCTGGGTTCAAATCTCTACATGGCTGATTTGCCGGGGAGCTTACTTCTTGTTAATATCTGACTGGGGAGATGATCAAAGCGTGTGGCACCGTTGTAAAAAGCAAGAAAACCAAATCAAGCCTTTTTTTTAAATAACTTATATCAATACAATGCCCAAGAGCTGCTCAAGGAAGAGAGATGATGAGTGAGGTTGATATATGGACATCATAGGAAGACGTAAATGTAGATTATGAGAATATAGAGTAACGGTTGGCACTAGACTTGAAGAGCTTAAGATTGAGTTGACTGGTTAACCATCATCTCGGGAGTCTTTCCAAAATAAAAAATAGCGGTTCTCGGGAAAAAAGCTCTCTGCGTGAAACTTCCTCCTTACCAATGGAATACAAAGAGAATAAGGATGATTTGAATCTGCACGTGGCATGGCTGACGTTAGCTGACCTTGTAAAGGTCTGAACTGGTGGAACTAAAGAATGTAACTCGTCCGAACCTTTGCCATGGAAATAGCGAGAGAGTAGCCTTAGTTTGCTCTGTAAGAAAGGGACTGTACGACTGAAGACTTGTGAGTGACAGTAGATATACGGAACTTTTCATAAGCTGTACACGGCTTACCAAAAGTTCTGTATACCTGTACTAGCGTGATGTCAAAAGTCATCATGACTGAGTGTTTAAGCGTACTGGCATTGTTCAAGCTGTTGATCACGGTAGATTATACGCTCGCTCTACAAACTCTGAAACTAAGATTCACTAACTTTAACTAAGGTCCGCTGAGCCCGCTGAGCCTAATTGCACTATAAACTACAGGTTGACTCTGTATCTGAAGAAGCATAGATGTGCCTGAGTATGCGTCTTCATTAGGGATTAACTAACTATCCTAGCAGACAGACATACTCAAAAAATGAACGAACAGATCCACAGGGTTTTTTTACATTGTACCTGATGATTCCAATTTCCGGAAATGTCTGCTAAAAATCCCCCCTATCTAAACATATAGACAAATCCTACAACCTACTTACTCTTTCTTCTTAGTGAATAAAAATGGACAATACTGGATTTAATCACACATTTTTTTGTTCTTTCTTGAAGTCAGAAGGTTATAACCATTTGACAGTATTCCGTTTGTCCATGAACTTTGTTTCTATTTGTATTTTTTTATTTTACTTTGCTATTTCTTGTTCTGTTCTTTTACATGTTAATTCGCATAGTTACTTAGAATTTTGTCAATTCCGCTTAAAAATGGCCGATTATCCAACGGCACCAAATGTATTCTTTCTCGGTTTATAACAGCTATATGTAAATCTATTGATCTGTATTATACAGTGTAACATGGATATAAGAGACCCGGATATAAGAGAAACCCGGATATAAGAGAGATTTTCTCTGGTCCCAAATTAGAGCCTGTGTTAATGTATATAAAATAGACCAAACCCAGATATAAGAGAAACCCGGATATAAGAGACTTCTTCTACGGTCCCGACAACTCTCTTATATCCGGTTATAGACTGTTTTATTATCGAAATTGTTATGAATATTTCCTAGCATGTTTGATTGATATCTCTTCTGAAATAAAGACCAGAAATCGGATGTTAATTTTAAAAACAGGAATGCATTCACCACTTTATGATTTATGACGATTACTCAGCTGATTTTATAATTAATAAAAAGGTTTTTTTCTTTTGCTATCCTCTGCCAGCCGCAATGATGGAAAAAGCATTACCTCGAACAATCGCCAGTGAGACACTGCAGGAGCCACTCCGTTTCGCGAGACTCATCCCTTAATCGGAGACGCCATCGAAAAAGGGCCAATAACCCCAGAAGTCTCCACTGCCACAGGAGTAAAAAAAAAAAAAAAATCTATCAGCAAGAGAAGAATATTTAACTATTTATTTTTTATCTCTGCGTCACGGGCGACGGATCCTGGCTCAACCGCGGACTTGATCAAATTACCAGTCGAAAATGTATCCGCACAGGTCGCATCCCAAATCAACGACTTCCCCATTTTAAAAGGGAAAATGGTAATGCCATCTGGCCGCTTTCCATCACGCCAGAAGTTTTCTTGTGTCAAATCGACAGAGAAACAAATACGGTAAAGAGGAACTTGTCTAAGCTTTACTAAGAGAATCGTCTAAATCCTCAAGGGATATGACGGAAAGAGAGGTGGAAAAAGAGGGGGAAAGACAGAGAGACCGGCGAACGCACATCTGTAGAGACGGACGCATGGCTGAACGGACACAAAAGCACACACGAAGTCAAAAAATACAGTAAAAGTTACACGAAAGTTAAATGCATATAAAAAGGAAATATCGAAAAAGTATAAGCAGTAAATTGCTACTACCCCCTGACGAGTGGACGGACAGATCCGTCTACAAAACTCTGGAGTCGGGATGCTGAAGGTAACATCAATCAGCTAAGTGACAAACTTTTTACTCACATTAATTCTCTCTCTCTCTCTCTCTCTCTATATATATATATATATATATATATATATATATATATATATTTACAAATTCATGAATTATTCATACAAAAAACAAATACAAAGGTTAATGATTTAATTGGCGAGAAATCCATCATCGCGAACAATTCAAATAATATACAAAAACCCCGAACCTGTTTATGAATGAAAAGATCCTTGTTTTATAAATTTCTGTTGCATAAGTCCTTATTATTTTTACAAGCTCTCGTCTGTTCCTACAGACATCCTCAGGTATGGAATAGATTTTGTTCTTGTTTTTACTCTAATAAGAGGACAACGAAAATAGATGTATTGTAATCCGAAAAATGCTATAAGAAATGTGTTATTGTTTTGGAGCGTGCAGTCGCAACGCTGAGTTTGAATTTGAATTTTAAGGTTGTGCGTTCTTGTACAATATATATACATTAGGGTGTGCAAGTCAAGGTAGGGCCTGACAATGCATATAAAAAAAAGACACATTGGAAGTGATGATGATCAAAGTCAACTTCCACCACCCGGAGATGATTTGATATGCCATATATGTAACAAGAAATGCAGATCGATGGGTGGCTTTATGAGCCACTGTCGTTCACGCAACCAATAAATGCAGTGTTGTGAGGTTGGAGTTTAACTGATGGACTAGACATGTCAATGATGGTCATACTCGCTTTGTGAGTCAACATCCAATATATATATATATATATATATATATATTCTTTTTATGTGCTGTGTCCTTTCAGGACGTAGGCGATCATGGCCCTCCACTTCTCCCTATCCCTTGTAGCTCTCAATAAGTTTCGTGCTTGTGTCAATTCCGACAGATCACGTTCTACCATCCACTTGCTTAAGCCCGCCAGGTATGTCATGCATTGCTTTCCTTTGCCTTTTTATTTTTTTTTTTTTTTTTGCCTCTGCTCGACCTGTGAGTATAATCAAGATTCTTTCCTTTTCGTATATTTTTTTATTATTTATATATATATGTGTGTGTGTTTATATATATACGTGTGTGTGCGCGCGTGCGTGTGTGTGTCTATGCGTATTTGTGTGTGTGTTTATGTGTATCTGTATCTGTGTGAGAAGTGGGTCTTATATGCTCTAAAGTCTGGTAATACTAAAAGAATAGTTATGTTCCTTTTCTCAGCTATCTGTTGTACGTGGTCTTTAGCTAAAGCTCGTTTAACCGCCATTAATGTAGTACAGAATAACATACCAAACTATCTTGTGTAATTGGATGGCAGAACATGGATTAGGCGATACAAAATACAAAAAGACAAACCTTACTAGGATCCACAATAGACGGGAAATTGTGGAGAGCCACGATTGCTCACTTCTTGAAGGGACACGGTGCATAGAATAATAAGGTAGTACATAAAATATAATGTACGTAATGAGCTGAATTCAATGTTTTCGATCTGAAGTCTATCATTTGTACGACGTATTTGGTCGAATTGCTACTCTGCTGAATTCAATGTATTTGATTCAATATAGCAGCTATGTTTCGATCAACGTATTTAATAGCTCCAAAGTTTTACAACTTGCATAATTTCCGGTCTCTTATAATCTACTTAGTTTTATGACCGTATTACAAACATTCCCATTTAAGGGAAGCAAATAACTGTTGAATTAATCTTATATAATGTGTTTAGATCATTTATGGACAGGGAGACTTTAACTATATTCGTTAGTTGTTCGATTATATTGCCTTGTCTTACACATCAATAAAAAGGAAACTTTTTAGCGCCCAGACTGAAGTACCATTTGCAGATTTCTAACCGATATTGACGTTGAAGATCGTAAAATTGATAGAAAAAAACTGAGTCAAAGTAAGTTTTATACAATGTAAGTTTTACTCAATGCATCAATGATATACGTGACACATTAACGTAGAGGAATCATTTGGCAACAAATTGTATTTAGTAATAAAAGAGGCGGGAAAAGAAAGTATTTTTTATAAAGAAAAGGAACCCGAAATCTTTATAAGATATCAAAATTTGTTATTTTAATTGCAAATAATATAATCATGAAATGAATCTATAATTTAATTATAAAATAATTTAATTATAATTTGTACCACAATGTCAATTTAGAAATTCTTGCTGACAAGGATTAGATAGGAATTTGAGTGGGGTTTATAGAGCGGTGTCTATAGAAATGACATTAATATTCAAGAATCTAACAAATGAAGGAATATCTATCTATCTATCTATCTATCTATCTATCTATCTATCTATCTGTTCATATCTTTCTATTTGCCTATAGATAGATCGATAGATACAGATATATATATATATATGTCTATCTATCTATTTGTTCATATCTATCTATCTGTTCATATCTGTCTATCTATCCATCTGTTCATATCTATCTATCTATCTATCTATCTATCTATCTATCTATCTATCTATCTGTTCATACCTATCTGTTCATATCTATCTATCTATCAGTTCATACCTATCTATCTATATATCTGTTCATATCTATCTATCTGTCTGTCCATATCTATCTATATATATATATATATCTGTTCATATCTGTCTATTTGCCTATAGATAGATACAGATATATATATATGTCTATCTATCTATTTGTTCATATCTATCTATCTGTTTATATCTGTCTATCTATCCATCTGTTCATATCTATCTATCTATCTGTTCATACCTATCTATCTATCTGTTCATATCTATCTATCTATCAGTTCATACCTATCTATCTGTTCATATCTATGTATCTATCTGTCCATATCTATCTATATATATATATCTGTTCATATCTGTCTATTTGCCTATAGATAGATCGATAGATACAGATATATATATATGTCTATCTATCTATTTGTTCATATCTATCTATCTGTTCATATCTGTCTATCTATCCATCTGTTCATATCTATCTATCTATCTGTTCATACCTATCTATCTATCTGTTCATATCTATCTATCTATCAGTTCATACCTATCTATCTATCTATCTATCTGTTCATATCTATCTATCTATCTGTCCATATCTATCTATATATATATCTGTTCATATCTGTCTATTTGCCTATAGATAGATCGATAGATACAGATATATATATATATGTCTATCTATCTATTTGTTCATATCTATCTATTTGTACATATCTGTCCATCTATCTGTTCATATCTATCTCATCTTGTTTATAGCTGTCTATTTGTCTATAGATAGATCGATAGATACAGATATTTATCTATCTGGTCTGGCTATATATCTGAAGATTCTTGACAAAATCGTAAGAAGAATCTGCAATGTTATCTATCCTGATGTGGCATCTCGGTTTCAGTCATGTCCCCCACCCCCAACCATGTAACATAGCTCCCTTGTAGTTTTTCTATCAATATTTCCATGGCAATTGTTCTGACGAGCTCTTCACTGTGGTATCACGATTTCTTGAATTTAAACGCAGTACTAAATTAGCGACTTATCATTTTATTTTTTTTTAAGCTCAAGTTTCTTTCCTCGCTTTCCGAACTCTCTTCCGGCTTCTTGCTTTCCTGTCAACTACGATCTTCCAAAAATTTAAATGCAATGTCACACGTCATTTACTGCCTCCTTGAACCTGGTTCTTTATTGTCCTTCCCCCATTATTAAATTGGGATTTTTCTAAGGCCGAAAGTATGGGTGGGGGGCACCCAGTGAGGATCGAACTCACTACTCAGTCGTAAATGTTCTAGCGAGACAAGCCTGCTAACCTTTACACCACGTCGAGGTGACTCTTTCTCCTCAATGAATTTTCTAAGATTCTTCCACTCTCCATGACCATTTGTGTCTTAGTGGTTTAATCACCCTTGCGAGTATATATATATATATATCATATATATATATATATATATATATATATATATATAGAGAGAGAGAGAGAGAGAGAGAGATTTTCTAAGCGCTGCTTAGATGCGGCACAAGGCCGGAAATATGGAGCACCTAGTGAGGATCAAACTCACTACTCAGTTCCAGCGAGACAAGCTTGCTAAGCATTACACCACGCCGAGGTGCCCAGCGAATATATATATATATATATATATATATATATATATGTGTGTGTGTGTGTAAGAGAGAGAGAGAGCATATGCGTAATTACAATAATGTCTCACTGTATGCTATATTTGTGGGTAAAAAGTGCTCAATATCAGGAATAGAGCGTATGTAAAGTGGACATTGAGGTCGACAATCTGTTTCATGCATGAACGCCAATTTCAAAAAAACATATATATATATATATATATATATATATATATATATATATATATATTGTGTGTGTATGTGTGTGTGCCTATATGAAAAATATATATCTATATGTATATATATATATATATATATATATATATATATATATATATAGCTAGACAAATATATAAAGTAACCAAAAAGTCCTTGCCGTTTTTCACGTTGTGTGGGGGAAGTGATCACTGATATGCAAATGAGGGTGTCACATGCTGGGAGGGGGGGGCATTACTCTTGATCAATGCAGGTGTGTTGCACGCATGCACACACATCAGTCCTAGTTTGGGCAGCAGTGAGGAAACATGGAAGTGTCAAAGCAGCTTGTTTGGGGTTGTCTGCTTTATGACTTTAAGGTGGGCTTGTCCGTAGTTACATCAAATCGCCAAATATGTCAAGTGTTTGAGAATAATGCTGTGAGTGAATGCACTGCCAGGTATTGGTTCCAGAAGTTCAGATCTGTTCCTTTGTGGTGAACAACAGTGGCCAGCTACAGTTCATGGATGATAAGGCCCTGAAGGCAGCCATATAGGAAGTTGGTTTCTGATGAAATAGACTTTATGTGCACTGCATAAGGAAGGCAAACAAATTGAGTAAGTGGGTACCCCACACATTTTTGGAAGCCATCAAGCAATAAGGTGTGACAGCCTGTTTCTTATTGCTTTCTCGTCACCACAACATATTCATATTTAATTGAATGTTCACTAATGACAAAAAGCTGGTCCCGTAAGACACTTTCAGATATTGGTTGTCACCACAGGACCCCATGCAGTGACCTCAGTGAAATACTGAATAAAAATGGATACTGAATACATTTTAAAGAATATTTATTCAATCTAGCCAAATTCATTTGTATTCTTTTACTTTTCCTTTTTCTCTCCATCACCTTTATCTCTGACTATCCCACATTATGACAACAAAAAAATCTTTCAAGAAGGGGGATATATTCTTAAAGACTGGACGCAAATTTACCATGGCCGAAAACTTTTTTCCAATTTATCATACTATTTTTCTAAATACTGTTTGTTGATATATAAAATTATACAAAATTATATATATAATATATATATATATATATATATATATATATATATATATATATATATATATATTGTTGTGGATTCCGTGAATGGAATCCTGCACAAATAAATAAACAACGCCAGTAATTGAGATAGAAAAATAAGTGTATTAAACCTTGCCCTTCGGCAAAGTCTCGTCCGGGTTCCTCTCTGCCAAACCAGAGAGTTCGACAGACGTCGTTAACAGTCAGAGACTGTATCTCGATGTATCTCAGTATTTAATATTCCCCCCACGAGGAATATATGTGGCACAAGGCCGAGTTTAAAGTGGGTTTCTCCGAGCCCGTAGGTTCGGCCAAAAATATACCCTTTGAACCCGCTTAGACGGCTTAAGGGCCTGTCTACCTCCCCGGGCGAAACCTGGCCCTTCGGCAAAGCTTCGTCCGGGTTCCTCTCTGCCAAAGCAGAGAGTTCGACAGACGTCGCACACAGTCAGAGACTGTATCGCGACGAAACTCAACAGCAGGTATTCTCTCTGTCAGTATAAGTATACTTTGGACGAGTCCACCTTATGTAAAAAAAAGGAGAGCCCCACACACACACACACACACATATATATATATATATATATATATATATATATATATAATCATTTACAATATTAAAATTATATATTGCTATATCACATATATATATATATATATATATATATATATAGTCATAGTCATTTACAATATTAAAAGATTACTATTAGTAAACCTTTATATTTTATATTTTTTATTAATGTTTTTTTAAATATTACTATCAAACGTTAAAATCTGTTTTTTACCTAAATTACTAAAACTATACCACCCCTCTTCTTCCTCCATAAACCCTAAATACATCTCCTTTCTCTTTACTTACCCCTTTTTTCTTTTTCTTTTTCTCTTTTCTCTCCTTTCCTTTCAACATATCATTTCCGTTAAGTTGACCGATTAAATAGACCAATGTCTAATCCTTGCCCCCTCCTTCCTCAATATTAAGTATGATAGAAAGAAATATAAAAATAAACCCTCTCTAAACTCGGCCATGTCTCTCACACCACTCCTCGTTACCCTCTCTGTTAAATTACATAAACTTAATACTACCCGTCAAAAGTGTAAATTTTCATTTCATTTTTCGTTTCACCTTTTGGAAGTGATGTCTGAGGATCCAGGGTACTTTAAAAGGTCTCTGGTGAAATAAACTATTACAATGGAGCCTTAGAGTGGTCTGTTTTTCTTTAAATTATTAGCTCTGAATTTACATTGAGCTCTCAGGATTTCATCCTCCTTGGGACTACCCATACGGATTATCAAGTTTTTCGTTACTTATATATATATATATATATATATATATATATATATATATTTCTGAGATGAGGGTATTATGTACACTATTTACATTATTCGGACTATTATCCTCATCTTTGTCGCCATATTTATTACAACTTTTCGGCCGTTGTATACTTCGGCCTTCTTCAGGTGGTTGGAATGTCGAACTGAACCCTTTATTTCACTCACTGGGGTAGACTGTTCTAGTTCCACGTGCCATGTTTAATGGATGTCAGTTATCGGTTATCACCTGTTAATTAATCAACGCCTTTATCCACTGTGCCATGTGTCCTGGCACATGGCACAGTGGATAAGGGCGTTAGTTAGATCCAGTGACAGGACCCAAAGAGTGTGATTTCAATACCCGGTTAAGGCAGTGGAGAACTTGGAGAGGGGAATTGGAAATAAGTCTGGGAATAATCGAAAATAATTGCAAAATCCGGCGAAAGTCATCCATGAAATAAAAATGATTGTTTGTACGGAAAGTAAGGACCTACGTACATCAAATTGTCTTTAAATTAAATGGCGGCAATAGAATTGTCGTTGAACTTTTTAACAGAAAAGCAATTATTAATGCAAAATTTAAATGCAGCGATTCATTTTGAGTTCTTCTGTAGTTTATTGTTGCCTGTTGCATTTATTTGTACTGACCTATTATGATGTAGGCCCAATCAAGAGCCCACCGCAGAACTCGCCTAAATACCTTAACAGAGCGGTTTTTAATAATCTATATATATATATATATATATATATATATATATATATATATATATATATTAGGACATTTTATGTTTATACATTCTTTTTATAGATACAAACATTTAAGTAAATGCTCTGTTTATATTAAACAGTATTAAACAGCATTTACCGGCCTGAATGTCCGAGAAATTTTCACAGAAAATTTCTTAAAATAATTGTCAGGCTTTGTACATTTCATAATATATATATATATATATATATATATATATATATATATATATATATATCAGTTTCGTTAAAAGGCGACTGAAAAGGCACACTGATTAAGCTATTAATTTAATTTTTCTTGTTCTTGTACAAGTGTTTTCTTTTCTGGACACAAAGTGTGTAAAAACTATCCAAAAGTCCTGCATATTCAAACGCTTTCGGCTATACATTTAACCATTATCAATGGCGATTTATATATTTTTTATTTTTAACTCAATGTATGTTTTTTTTATGTATGTGTCTAAGGTTATAGGAATGTTTTATTTTCCAAACACGTTCAGCACGTATAGATAAAACATTCCTATTATTTCAGTTAAAAAAACACACATTCGGTTAAAAAAAAATTAATTCGTCCTTGATAATGGCAGATCTCTTTTTACAAGAATGTTGGATACTTAATAGGGAGAGATATAAAAATATAATGAATAAAAAACTAAATGCAATTGGCTAGACTATAGACCCAAATAAATATTTT